CTTTTCTCGTTCCAGGTACTTCCTACCTGTAGTCAGGTTATCATTTATCTTTCTATTCTGGTGGACCTATTATTACACCTATTGATTTGTTTTCTTTGAAACTTTTTAAGTTCATAGTTCTATTTTGCCATCAATACTGCAATGCTTTAATGAAGCCTACGTACATTTACTAAATGCTTTTCTTATGTCAACTAAACCTAAAACCCATCTAAGAAGTTTAAAGTTACTTCAAGAAGAGTCACTTTCATAAAGACTTTGTTGATTAGCATTAATGATGGTATGCATCTTCTAGTCTCTGTGAAACAAATAAATTATGCGTTATTCCATCATTTTCCCATCTGGATGTCAGCCTGACAAACTCTGCTGTTTTAGCCATCTTTCCCAAACTCTGAAATAACCTGACAAGGAACTAGCCATCTCTCAACTTTCCGGAATCTTCCCCTATTCACAGGTTACTGAAAAATCAATATTAGCTGCCAAAAAAGCTCCTCAGCCAGCTGCTTTGAAATTCCTCAATGCAAATTACCCAGAACTTCTGATTTAAGTATGTCTAACTACAGTAGCTGTTGATTAATATCCTCTTTAGTTACAGTAGGAATAGAAAGTGTATTACCATCATCATATAACAAATACATCATCCTTTACCCCTGTACAGAGCAAGACATCTCTATTGAATTCTACTGCATTGTTATAAAAAAAAGAAGTGCCTACTGTTTCCATTTGAGAACAGACCAGTGGTCTGTTTCCATTTTTTTTTCCTTTAACTCTTTAAAAATATTTTGCTAAAACTTTTCACTTATTAATTTTACTTCCTTTTTTTTTTTTTGTCACTTTCCTACAAGTTCTTTTCTCCTTTACTATCAGCTTTGTCTCCTCCTTATCTGTAAGACTTATTTGTCACTTCCTTCCTGCTTCAGATGTTTCTGATTTACTATGCTGAGCCTACTCTGTCACATTTTTACACAGATACACAGTCTTCTTTCTCCTGCTAAATAATGTCATTTCTAAATAGTTCTTACAAAGCTCTCATATTTTCTGCCTTATTTCCCTCTTCTGGCTGATGCAGCTCTTGATGTTTTTGGCCTCATAAAGCCAGCCTTCTGAAGGTGCCAGTACACACTGGACTGGCTCACATTTCATTTTGCGTACATACAGCCATATTAATTGAATTATTACCACTCCTGTGTCAAAAACCAGGAGAAGCCTGATTCTTTACAAGAATGTTTCCTTTTGCCAAGAGCAGAACAAAGATAAACAGAAATCACTCATAAAACGGAACAGTTCACTTTCGACACTAAAGCCATCCTTTCCTGTAAAGGTTGCTCCTCTTTCCTACAGGAAAGATCTGATGCAGAGCTGGAGCAGAAGTGCCAGCCTCACCAGAGGAGTTTTATAGCTCCCCGTGGGATGGTGCAGCTTGCTCCAGCTGGGCCCTGCACAGATTCCCCTCCCTCCCCCTTTTCCTATGGCTGGGTTCCCTGGCTCTCTCTGTAATGAGGACAGGCAGCTGTGAGGTGCACTCTGCCAAGAGAACAGGAGCATTAACCCTCTTCTTGTCACCCATCAAATGGATTCTGTAGGGCGTAGAAGTTATCTCTTCATTTATACATAAGGATGAAATGTTTCATGAAGAGAGAAGTGAGGCCCTGGCAATGCTGCCCAGAGAGCTATGGGAGTCCCATCCCTGGAGAGGATCCCAGACTGGATGAGGTTCTGGGCAGCTTGAACTAATGGCAGGGCGCTGGAATGAGAGATCTTTAGACATCCTTCCAAACAATTCCATGGCTCTGTGAACCCTTCAGAACCCATGGGCTCTGCTCCAAAGCCAAAGCTGGCACAAGGGGAGCCCCTTCCCATTGAATTCTGTGCTAACAGTGGAGGTGAAGTACCAAGCCTGGCTTCTGAGGAGTGCTGCATTTGCAGGTTTCTTTGCAGCACTCCTGTTGGGATGCTGCTGGCTGGGAGAATAAGATGCTTCGCTTATTTGTGTCCTTCTGGAGCAGGTTCAGGCTGCTCGTTGTTTCAGCCAAGGAAGAGAATGAGCTGATATTCCCCACTGCTCCCTCTCCTCAAAGCCCAGCGTTATGTTCTCGGAACAATAACCCTATTTCGTCTGGTTCCCTGAACTAAAATGTCTGCACACTGTTTTCCTCACTCGTACTTGTGTTTGGATCTTTTCTCATAGCTGTCGTAATTGAAAACGGTTAATGTGCAATGGCTTCACTAGGTGGTTAACAGAAGCAATTAAAGCTGAGCTCAATATCTGTTATGCTGCTTTGCAGAGGCCCCAAACTGGCTTACATCTTAACTTCAAATGATTCAGTAGGAAAAAATCTTTCAGAAGCTTTTTCCCAGTGTGTCTGCTTTGTCCCTGAACATGCTTGGATTTATGTGTACATTTTCACCTGTCAAATAGCAACGAAACTTAGCAGAAGCAAAGCGCTCGAGTCGTACAATCTGCCGCAAAGCAGCACTCCTGTGGTCACATCACAAACTGTGTCCACAGCTGAGCCAGACACAGAGAGCGGCTGCAGCCTCTTCACAACAGCCCATGAACCAGGGCATGCCCAGCCCCGTGCCCCCAGGATGCCGTGGCTGCTGGAGCTGAGCAGGTACCAGGATCCTGCTCACTTCTCAGGGCTGGGACTTCCCATTCCCCATCAAGTCTGCAGTTAAGCCTGTGCATCCAAACAAGATGGCACAGTACATCACGTACATGAACAAAGTATCCTAACAGCTGGTCTTCCTCCTCTTCATCCAAAAAAAGGAACAAAGAATTCTTACTATTTTGAAGACTGACTGTAGGCTAACCTGCTGTCTACACATTAGCCTTCAAAATGCAATACCGTAATACCAAAAGATACGTTGAATCCCTGCCAGATTACTCCCCTTCAGTCCCATTCCTCACACGAGGCACCTATTGTGGATCTAGGAACACTCCCTCCTGCTAGGCAGGTTTAGACTACAGCTTGTTCTTGTGATTGCAAGGAAGGCATAGAAAGAGTTAAAAAAAAAAAAAAAAAAAAAAAGGGAAGAGAAAAGGGGAAGGAAGGATGGAAAGAAGGAAGGAAGGAAGAAAGGAAGGGAGGAATGGAGGAAGGATGGAAGCAGTTACAGCCAATAACTAAGTTTCTTCTGCTGAATATGTTACTGCTATTAAAATTTTAAGAGTTTGAAGTGACAGTAAATGTGGTCTTATTTTAGAATGGTTTCCGTAATGCTACACAACAGTTGCCAATGGCACTTATGCCTTTTTGTACACACACACACAGCTATTTAGCTGACAACAGTGTTTAAGCCATTAAACAAGATAATATTGTAACTGTTATGCAATGGTAAAGCTCGCTCCTCAAAGAAGTATTTGGTGTTTTAATCTGAAAGTCAACATTTGTTCCATATTCACTTATATTTTCTTTATTAGAAATGTATAATTTAATGTAATATTTAAGGCCCTTAGGGTACATGCTCCGTTACCTATAAAACATTCATGCACACTGAACACTTTTTTGGTGCCAGTTCTTGGCTTTGTACATCTGCTTTACAATACTGAGTATTCTAACTAACAACATGCCTTAATTGAGTTTAGGTGTTCAAGTCATTTATTTAAATTTAGTACTGTGAATAATTTATTTCAATTTACATTTTAATTATTTTACCCACTTTTTTGGGAGCAGCCTCATTTTCCAGCTCCTAAAAAAATAATCGGCATATGTTTACTGCAGTAACACTCACACTTTCTAAATTCTCTGAGAAGTTTAGTTCCAAACTGAGAAATGCTAATGAATTATTCATACAGCAGGCATCAGCCAGAATTAAATTAGGATGTCCAGATCCAAAAGAAACCTGACCTTCTAATACTTATCAGCCCCTCAAGCTCCCTGAGGATCTCTCATCTGCTATGGCAAGTTCAGCTACGGCCAAATATGAATATTTCTGCAGTCAATGTGGGCTTACATGTTCTTATTAATCACCTCTAGTCGAACAGGGCGTTGAGACATCATGCATGGCGTGGATGCTCTCATTGCTGGTGTGTCTCTTTGCCCACGAATATTTTCAATTTTTTTTTTTTTTTTTTTTTTTTTTACTATATATGTGTGTATTTTGCAAAGATTGACTAAGTAAAGTATTTTCCCCATGCAACCTAATAGAAACTGAAGTTCTGAGATAGGCATTCCATTTCCAGCTCATGCTCTTTGTTGTCATTTTATCTCATTTTATAGGCACTTGTTAATGACTGAGATGGCTAAAATAGTTTGACATGCAGAAAAAATGCCTTCAACAAAGGGCAACAAAAACACTCAGCATTAAGTAAGCAAGGATTATTTTTTAGCAATGAAGTCAATTTGTGACATTTTGCCATCAATCCTGAGCACAGGCAGCCATATCCACATGCACCTGTGCTTCTCCAGTCATCATTTGCTATTTTTCTTATGGTCTTGTCCACGTACGATATAAATATAAGCAAAAATGCATGCATTGGTTTCAACTCAAATGTCTTTGTTCCCTGGATTTCTATGTATACATACATACTATTAAGCACTGTCTTTTTTCCTCTTGCATGCCTTCTCACACACACAGGTGCACCCAGAGATGTTACGATCTCCCTCGCCCGTTGATCCATAGCTACATAAACATTTCTACAAGTAAATAAATTTCACTACATTTTACTTTAAAATGTAATTTTTTTTTTTTCCCCCCAAATCCACTTTTACTCTAAATATAGCGCACAGCAGCCTGACCATAAGGGAACACCTTCAGAAAGGAAAATGTAAAGCTGGAAATGTTATTAAGAAAAATTTTTGCCCTCAGCCACAAGAAACTTCAGACGTATTTTTGTTTGGAATACCAATTGCGGCGTTACCCAAAACAAGCAATGGCTGCGTTACAAATCCCACCCTACGGCCATCTCTCAATGGCTGTTTCTCAGGCCAGACGCTCACTGCAGTGCCAGCTGCTCGCTCAGTGAGAAGTTCCCCCAACACGGATGGCAATGCGCTCACCTTGCTGTGCAGCACGGAGCGACTGGTGGGCTGCAGCGGCCACGCGATGTGCAAAGCTTTCAAACATCTCCTAGAAGTAAGAGAATTAATGTGAATTCTGGAGAACAAGAAGATCTTCCTGAAAGTTAGACAGATTCTTTTTTTTTTTTTCTCCCCAGATAACATGGATTAATTCCTGTAAGAAAATATTCCATCTTTGAGCAAAGAGTTTAAATAACATACAAGACCTTGGAAAGCAGCATCAGCTGTTGAAAAATAATAATAAAAAAACCCCACCTTACTTCACACAGTATATTTATAAAGACTTTTTAAAATAGAGTGCTGCAAATTTATGTGCATTTTGTGGACAAGCATAAGGTCAGTTCTGTGTCCCACTGAGCTGTGTGCTACACGACGCAGCACATAAGCAAGAAATGAGCAAGCAGTAGGACTGGGAGTGAGAGACATGACTGTGAGAACATCTTTTTTGGCCTTGTTTGACTGTGAGTGGCTTTTAAGGTGCAGATTTATTTGAAAAAGGAACCGATACGATAGGATGTCTCCTTATTCAATGGTTCTGAACCCATCCCCTCTCCTCTCCCCGATGCTGAAGGCACAGTGGGTAGTATGCAGGGAGAAGGATCGTGCCATGCTATTCCTCTAAGCCTCCACTGCTGGAAACAGGATATTAAATGCTTCACAATAAAGCTGGTTCTGCTTGTTGTTTCAGTAACCTTGTAGCCTTCAGCCCAGCACTAAAATCTTACAGGAGCTGAGTTCCCAAGCATGAATCAATGATTTGTATCGGACAGAAAGGAGGATATTAAAGATACACCAGAGGAAACAAAGAGAAGCTGACCTTGGAGCAACCAAATGGGTAGAGACCCATCAGTTCAACTTCCAGCCCTCATTACTTGTCCCTTCCCATTGCTGAATTTAATCTTCTTTACATAGCTCCCTCCAGCCCCTGCCTGCCCTGGCACACTGGCTTTTTAACGTGATGAGTGGCTCTCATTCACAGCCTCTACTGAGAGGGGAGCTGAGGCTGGGGAGCGAGATGAGGCAGTTGGGGAAATAATGCTGCCTTTCCATCTCCAGAAGGCCCTCGTGGATGAAACTTATCAATTATGTGAAAAGGTTCGTCAGCGCTGCCAGGGCTGAGGGAAAATGATTCCCACCACAGTTAACAGCCCACCCTACACCCCAGGCAGTGGCTCATAAGGAGCTGCCTTGCTGCAGCAATCCTGGGGACAGGGCCAGCACCTGTAAGTCTGGGCTGGAGAGCGTGTGGAACGGCACCCGGCAGGGGCTGCTGCTGTAGTTTGCACCTTCCCCTCTGGCCCTACTGGTGATTCTCAACCACATCCAACTGTCCTTCACCTCTCCCATTCATTTCTTCCTCATCTGTCTATAAGGGAAACACCAGACGATTTCAACTTGCAGTACGCATTGAGCTGTCCTTGCAGAGAGCATCGCTCCTTGTGCTCTGCCTTTCACAAAGTGTCCAAATCCGTGGTGCAGCCAGACAGCTCTCATTGCACTGGGCATCCCGGTGGGCCTGGAGATGGATCCTTACAATCTACATGTACACCCATTACCACAACATCTATTTGGAATGCTAAATTCATTGCAATTACATGCTGAACATCCAAATGAGTCTAAGTTTAATATAAGAATCATTAATGAACGCCAAACATCTGCATTCTCCTGTCCCTAGCAAAAGGCTGGGAGAAAGTCCCTGATTTTAAAATCACTCCACTGAGCTCTCTTACTAAATGCCGGTTTTCAGCCCTACGTTGCATTATTACCATTGTTGTCCTTTAGGGGTTGATGTTAATGACGACTGAAAGGGCTTAATGAGCATGTGCCTTGAAAAAGCTCTTTATACACCTTACAAAATAATTACTGCCATTTTACTGAAAACTCCACAGGGCCAAGCTCACGGAAGCAGTCAGGGTGCCAATTTAATACGATACGGTACACTGCTTTACTCAAATAAGGCCTGATCCTATAGAAGTTCACCTTCACTGCCACAATGGACATCCACACCCCTCCTGCAGCTGCAGCCAGGGCTGAGGGTACCATGCCCAGCCCCTGGGAGAGGAGCCTGAATGGAAGGGTCACAAAATATCTCTGGGCTGGAAGTGATTTTGTATGGCAAGAGAAATAGGATTTGGGTTCTAACAGCACAAAGACGTCCGATGATCTCTGCTGACAAGCAACTAGTCAATAGCATGTTAAACATTCCTTACATAGCACTTAAAGCTTGTAAGCTCCTTTTTCCTGTTCTGTTCCCATCCAGCACAGATCAACACTGTTGGCCAGAGAGGTTGTGGCTGCCCCATCCCTGGAGGTGTTCAAGGCCAGGAGGGATGGGGCCCTGGGCAGCCTGCTCTAGTATTAAATGGGGAGGTTGGAGATTCACGATCCTTGAGGTCCCTTCCAAGCCAGGCCATTCTGTGATTCTGTGACCTATTAAGGAAAGATATTCACAAGAGACTTGCAGCATCTTCTGGGATGCAACGTGGCCTTTGCCTTTAACAGCAGACAGCAGCAGCGCATGGATGGGTTATAGAAGGATCTTACATAGGAACGAATGGCAAACAGAGAATCCACTGAGTCTGCCACAGGGTAAGCTTCTCATTTCATGAGTGTCTGTTGTTTGAGCAAAATGGCTCCATGATTCGCAGGAGGAGAACTGCTTTTAATATATTTGGGAGGAAAATTAAAATTTTGAAATCTATTTTTTCATCTTTCAGCAAAACACTTTCCCATCTGTCATCGAGGAAAAATTCTTTAAGTCTGAAGAAAATAAAAGGAGGAATGCTAAACAAAATGCTCCTGTAATGTGCTCTGACTGCAATGAAACTATTTTCTGGATGAAATAAAAACCTCTGCAAAAATATTCTCAACCAGCTTTTAATTATTATTTATATTGCTGAAATGCTTAATGCTCACCATTCCAGAAACTGGCCCTACAACAAAATGTACCTTTTTCACTAGTGGGCATAGGAAAACTTTCAAATACTTATTAAGTATATGCAAGACATATCCATCAACACCCACAACGAGCAGCGTGTCAGCAAAGCCCCGCTCTGCCCGTGTGTCAGGGCAGGAGCCTGCAGCTCCCAATGAATACCTTCTGTCTGAGAGGAGCTGCAGCAGAGCAGCCCAAAAGCCAAGGGAAGCCAGATCCCAAAGTCCCACGATGACAGAATTCTGACCTGTTTTTATTAACACAAAGTCAACACAGAAAATCAAGGCAAGCTTATGAGAAGTAAGGTGAATGCCTGGCCTATTTTTTTCAATCTCATTATTTCTGAGCCTTTGCAGCAGACCAGCATCAGGTTTTCCAATTTTTCTTTGCAACTTTGGATGCTAAAAATGTGCTTTAAGATGTCATAGTAATGAACAAATACTGATTCCCTGCTATTCCTATACAGTTTCCAGGCTCCTTCCCACGGCTGCTCTTTCCTAGCCAACCAAGATGAGCCTCTGAGCTCTCAGCTAAGGAACCTGCCCCATGTAGCTTTTTTTGCTGCTGGCACAAGACCAGGGGCAGGGGAGAAGAAGAACTTCTCAGATCATCTCAGTGGCCCAGAGAACAGAAACGTTCCCTGCTCACAGAGCAGTATGTGCTTTGGGATGTTCTCACCCCTCTCTTTTCTTAAACACAGTATAGGACAACCACAATTCATTGTAAGACTCATTCTAGCTGCGCTGCCACAGCTGTCAGGAGGAATCTACTCCAATGGGAAAGAAATGCCCATCAGGGACCTTTACTTAGTTCCACCCCTACTATTCCAGAGTACAACAGGAAGACAAAAGAGACCAAGGGAAGATACTGAGGATTCCACCTCTCTGCTAAGTGCCAGCACGAAGGGTGCTCTGTGATGGGCACTCACAAGTGGACCACTCAGGCAACGCTCTGCGCATGCTCAGCTGAACAGCCCAAAGCTGAACTTTGAAGCCAACTTCTCCACATGTGGTCCTCGTGTATTCAGTGCCAGCAGCAGGAGTTACACCCAGGTGTCTCTGCAGTCTATAATCAGGAGCTCTCTGAAATAATTTCATTAGGCAGGGGTGAGGGAGATGTGCGGTATGATCCAGTACAGCACAATCATCATCACATTTTGATTCCCTTGCACATCACTTTCCATATTTATCTTCAAAGACCTCTTGATGAAACAGCTGCTTAAATTTAATTAAACAACAGCATTATATAAACAAGTTCTTTTGTTTCGTGTGCTGAACGGGGTATTCTTCAAAAGCTATTCTGCCAAAGCTGGCCTTTCTGCCCCTTGACTTGTCTTTACTCCAATTACCACTCCAGTTTAGCTGATTAATTTGTAGCCACTGGCAAACATGCACAGTTGGCAGGACATCATTCCATTTCAGTGACAAGCACTATAAAAAGATCATTATTTTCATTAGCATAAATAACTGCATGTTGATAGAACGCTGGTTTCTGAAAATAGGTTAAAGTCTTAACTGTCTTTATTCATTACCCAGATATAATTGGAAGCAAAATTATCACATAAGTGAACAATACGCTCTCAATGTATAATGCTTAATGGCTGTACTCAGCCCAGTTGCAGCCTGGAATGACTTCTTTTTCTTTCTTTAAAATGAAACATTCTGATGCAAATCTCCATACAGACACACTAATTTATGACAAAATTTGATAGCGTATGAAGAGATCCAATGGAAAAACAGAATCACGTGACAAATAAAGATGCTTTGTGTCGCACTGGTTCAACTTGCATAGGGCAAAGGATATTATTTTTCTAGTTGCTGACCCTGGCTGGATGCTTTGAAAGCTTTCCTGGCTCCAACTGAATTTTTCTAGCAGCCTACTGAATTGCATTCCTAACACATTCTCCCAAACAAGATTTTTAAGAGTTAATATTGCATAACAAGGCTCCTTTGAGATCAAAGGCTTACTTTCCTCTTTCATTCTCTTCTCTGCCGCACTGACTCCACAGTCTCAGTGGCAGTTTTATGCCAGCCTGGAAACGCAGCTCCCGAGTCACACAGACGGCTGTGCTGCTGTGTGTGCAGAGCAACTGCCCACAGCGGGACCCTGCGCGG